CTATGCATGTTTACGTTCGATGTTTTCCTAATAAATTGTGTGTGTGTTTGCGGTTTGTTTGGCTTTTACCATCTGATGCCATACATTTGTTTCCGTTGCGTGTAATCTTAGTGGATCGACAACAAACAAGACCCAGCAACATTAAAACTCTAATGCCAACACCATACAGTCATTGGCGTATACACACACACAGACCAAATCCGTTCGTTCCGCTGACGTTTTTGGGGGAATTTTCCGTCGTTGTGTGTGCAAGTCTTTTTGGAATCGTGGGTATATCGTCAATGCTAAGACCGCTGCAATTTGCCATAAAATTTGACGGTAAATCTTATTTTTTTTGTTGTCCGTTTATTTATACACCATTTAATTTTTGCAGGTCACCACAAAAGAATACAGAAGAATTATGTCAATCGATTTAAACTGCACACGATTCAATCTAAACGGTATTTGAATGTTCTTTGACCGTGCCGTGTGCAATTAACTCAAAAAATTACCCACAAATAATGCAGAGGTGCGACAGATACACAGCCAATAATGTCCAAATGCAATAAATCATCATTTATACTGGTCGCATAGAATACCGGTTGAGAGTTTCTATATTCTATAGAACACTCATTGACACATACCATGGCATTAGCTATTCGGTTATGTGCTGTTGACCAAATTCAATCAGCGCACGAACGATCAATTTGTCGCCGGTTTTCATATTTTAGCGAAACATTTTTATCGTTTGCCTTGAATCGATATGTGTATATGTTTTTCTTCCCCTCCGTTTGGAACCGTAGTTCTCATTGATTTGGAACAATTAAAATTTATCTGCCACAAAAAAAGCACACTTAGAATCGAGTTTAAGCTTAATTATATTTTTAGATGGTAGGCCGCGTTTGTCACATCCAACTTCTTTTTTTGTTGATGTTTACTGATCAAAAGCTGTTGCTTGTTTGCCGTGCACTGCTTTAGAAAATGGCTCGTAGTTCCGATTGGTAATGTTCTTGTTAGCAGGAGAAAAAAAAAACTGAGTGAACGACCATGGGCCGTAATTATCGGATCTTGACTGCAACTTTGTTGTTTATCCGTTATAAATCACATACCGAAATTACCGCGAGCATACTCTTAAATCACATCACCGCGCAACACACACATTCAATTAAAATCGCTAGAATTTTCGTGCGTTTTTCGTTTTTTTTTTTTTTTACCAAAATGCGTTTTAAATCACCATCCGTTTTGCATTCGGAACATACTGTCCGATAAATGTATGTATATGCTTAAGAATTGCAATCGAAATGAAGACTGATCGGCTTAATAATAATATGACTGGTTTTTTCCTTTTAATTTTTCTTCATCGCCGCCACCGTCATACCGAATTCACCAGCCCAGTTCTCTCTGTCTCTTTTAAATTCAGATTCAATTTTGTTCGTTTGCTTGGCTTTGTATGGCATGGCTGGGCTGGGCTGGGCTGGTTTGATTGGCGCTACTGTGGTTGGTGTTTGTACGTTGGGTGCCACTATTGCGCTATTACAATTGCACAAAATTGTGGAAATAAACTGTTCGGACGAACAGGTATATGTGCTAGAATTGTGCAGCGTTTTTTCTTCATTTTTTTTTTTGATTTCGCATTTCCACTGCATTCGAATATGCGGCAGACATCGTGTATGCGCATGCACTTCAGCGCTCGTTCATAGTTCTACAAGCAGCGATTGAGAAAATACAAATGCGTTCGCTCGCCCAGCGCTGCACACGCTCATTTGATGTTGCATTATGAAATAGTGCGGTCAGGTAAAGCAAACGAATTAAATAAGTAACAACAACAAGTATATGCTTGAACAACATTTGAACAGCAGAAAATAAAAAAAAATATAATCACAAATGCAAGAGAATTAACGAAAAAAAAAAGAAACGAGCACTCGCATGTGTGCTTTCACGGTTTTAATTGTACTGTGCGCGCAAACACACACAAACAAGATAGACAGCGTTTGACCTAGAACAAAAAAAAATTCCTTCTCTATTCGTATGGAACAAAAGCAATTATACGCTTGCGCAGCTAAGTTCAACTGAGCAATTTCAGGAGGAAATTGTTCACACTTACTAAGTGCAGCCAGTGAATGCCGTGAGATTTTTTTTCGCGGTCTATTTACTTTTGTATTATACATTTCTAGTATATTTCTAACAAATTTCATTATTTATTCATATATTTCGCGCCCGAAAATCGATATGGCCCTTGTTATTGCAACTGACGACGGTTTTTTGTTGGGCAAATAATTTACATTTTTGGTTTCACTCGATCGCTGTGTGTATCTGAGTTTTATTTCTCATTTTCGTTTTTTTTTTGTCAATGGCAAAAATGCACACACCACCGAATGGTCTTTGCAGTGTGCGATCGCATGCGACGCATTTTAAAAAGAGACGGAAATCTATATGGCAAATGGGTGATCGTCATTTGGCATTGTTTGATACTTTGTTTTTTTTTTTTTTTGTTTCGTCACGTTTGAAGACATATTTAAATAACCAAATTAAGATAAATCACTGACGCTGAATATACCGCTAGAGATGGACTGCTGCCGTATGTTGAAACAGATATATCTAGACTTGTTTCATTTTTCCGTCGTGATTTCCTCGTTGATATGAAGTTCAACGCGAAGAGCAAATATACGCTTGATCGTCGTTTTATTGCTGCTACTGCTGCTGCTAACATTGTTACCAATCTTTTTTAATTACACACTATTCTGATTTAGTATTTTTTTTTCCCGCCACTTGGAAAAAAACTAGGAAAAAAAACGCGATCGTTCAAATGATCCGAATAAGGTGAATGCCAAACAAAGGCAAATCTCATATTATTCTTCTCATTCTCTCTATGCAGCGAACCGCGTCTAATGTCTCTTGCTCTTGCGGTGGTTTATGGAATTTTACCAAAACCACTATCCAATCCAAGTTAGATAGTTAGATAATTCGTAATGGCTTTTCGGGTTCTGATCACAATGATGCGCACCGTTATCGTTGTTCAATACAAAAGAACAGGAAAAACGGAAGTTGACGGTGTCGCTCGTCAATTTATGCAAACAACTTTATGAGCCAGGAAAAGAACACCGTATTTTTTTTTATTACTATTCCAATACCAATCGATGGGTGTGTACGAAAAACCTGTAAGAAAATCCAACATGAAATGAAAACTTGTTACATTAATCAAATACATTGTGAGCCTAATTTGTGATTTCCAAAAAATGTTGTTTTTTTCTACTTCTTTCGCAAGGCTGAATTATCGCTTGACCAATCGATTGTATTGATGAGCGAAAAATGTGTGTGTGTGTGTGTGTGTGTGTGTGTGCGCGCGCGCGCGATATTTTAAGCGAATCGTAGGTGGCTTGCGAATCGTTTCTTTTTTTACTTCTTCCTCTTTGCCAAAGAATTCAAAGCAATGTGATTAATGCCATTGCCATTTCCAAGTGAAAGAAAGTTTTTCCTTTTTTTAACGCCAACAACCGACCAAAAATTTCGTGATCTGCGAACTTTTTTTGGATGATAAATTATTCACAGCGGATAAATCAAAAACACAGCTCATTTTATGCGGTGCAACATTTTTATGGAGGGGGTTTTGATTCCTTTGTATTGATTACGTTTATTGTCACTCCATAAAAATCATTTTGCAACTCCATAAGAAATCTTTTATTTTTGCGGCCCGCATTATTCATGCCATGTGTCTTTTATTTTTAGTTGAGCAAAGCAAATCTCATTCGATACGTGTTATAGCACACGATGACTGTTCAACTTCAACCTACGCTCATTGACACACAGCGCTTTTTCACCAACTGAAATGAAAAAAAAAAACTTTGAATCCGCAAGAAAGTTCAATCTTTTCGTTTTTAATCACAAGTTTCGCAGAATAAGACAACAAATTCCGTTGAACAGTTTCGTCTAAAAAACCGTTCACTTGACGAAAATGTTATGAGGCTTTTTCGTTTCATCTTCTCTCGTTATTCATTCATCATCAATCGTCTGTGATGACAAAAAGTGCTGGGATCACGAAAATATTGTCTAAAATAAAATTTAAGTAATCTATTGATTAGATGAAAGCAGCCAAAATCACGTTTAGTGCAAACAACAAATTATTCCGGCCAATCAATGAGATTGATCCATATCTACTGTGTCCTTAAGGACACCATCAGATATTTATTCTATTGGGTGCATTTTCTTAATCGTCAAATTTTCTTTTTCTTCTGTTATTACCTAGGTTAAGGAAAAAAAAAACTATTTGAATGCCCCCAACACACAATTTTGTTTTTAAAAATCATCTTCAGGCATTTTCTATATGAGATATCACATAATGGAACTTTACACTTGTCTCTCTAACAATTTCCGTAAATTGAATTGTTGAAAAATGGGTGATTAATAACTTATTCGTTATTTTCATTAGATAACTCTGGAACAATCTCTTGAAGTAAATCTTCAAGATCATGGAATAGTTCCATTTTAGAAGCTATGGTTCTAAAGTAGAAAACGTGTCTCAAAACAGCCATAAAACGGCAGGTTTATTGTATTTTAACTCGATTCGACTGAAGATTATACGCCCAAACATCGCCTACGATCTAATACTGAACTATCTTCTCCACAATCACACACAAACAAGCTATCAGTTATTCTTGCATCGGTCCCAATAAAATCGGGACTTATCTTTGATTTCTGGTAGATTTATCGACATGGGATAGATTATGAAAGAGGTAAAAAACACATGAATATTTCAATAGGTTATAAAAAAAAGAATTATTTTTATGACCGATTTCCACGTCACTCAATGAATAATCAATTTGAGATATAGAAAATTGTGGGGAAAAAAAACGTTCTTGATTTTCTTTTGTGTTCACAATCATGATTGTGTTTTGCATTTGTGATGTTCACATTTTTTTCATATTAAATTGAATGTATGTTTTTCTTCCGACAATTCGATTTCTTTCCCGTGTATCGAGTTATAAAAGCTTTTCAAAACGTATGAAGCGTTTATACAAAACAAATTTTGTTGTAAGGTTTCTGAAAAATCTCCAGACTCAACGAAGACTTTGTAATGTTTCATTTATATGATTTGTCGATGCAACACAAAAAATGGAACACAATGCTTCATAACTTAACTATCACAAAACTACCTAGAATGGTTCCAATGGATCCTTCATCACACAACTTCTGAATTTCAGAACTCTCAAGAATTACTATTCCGTAGTCATTTGGACTGATAAAGAGGAACAATAGTTCAATGGCATTCCTCTTACACTATTGTACATATTAACACGTATAAAAATTGTGACGGCACAAAACGTTTCAAAGGGCGTTAAACAAACGTTTGATAAGATGTTTTTTTTTGTCGTACAAGTATTAGCTATCACCATTCAGATGGATTTGCTAAATATAGTCAATAATAATTTGATAAGCTTACTTTAGTTGATTTATTTTCCTTATTATATGCTGTATGCTGATGTGCTTCTGAATCTTTTCTCAAAAATTAAATTTTGAAGAAAAAAACTCTAATTTCAATGGCAGTTCCAATATTCTATACTCTGGGGTTAGTTACATTTCATGTGAATTTATTCTAGAAAATCAATCGTTTTCGATTCGAATAAAGTTGAACAAAATTGAACGTTGAATACTACGCAAAATTCAATCAACGGAAAGGTAAAGCGGTTGAACGAAATTGAGTTTTGAAAAAGTCATAAGTGAACTTGAATTGTGACCGGCAGCCCGTGGTGTAATTTTTTACGGTTTATTAGCGATTATCAGCCAATTATTGAAATCATGGTATCTTTCTGCGAGGTAGTTAACCAACAGCAGATAGATGTGGAGAATGAAGTGCGTGACTCTTATAAGCAAATCGGAGATGTATACATGATATTCAATGAATATCATATTAACAATGACACCGTGCGGAGTTACAACGCTGAATTTGAATCAAACAATAGGCAGTACTTAGCAAAGAACACCTAAGATTGAGGCGGAACTAGTTGATTATATGGAAAGAAGCAACAAAAGTTGGGCGATCATCAATAAAAAAAATGTAGTGATATATTGAGTCCGTTTCAAAACGTTTCTACATTGTTGAGCGATGCACAACGAATTCTCATCGATGATATATTGGGCAAATGGAAACGTGATCGAATTTTGTTCCTCTACGGTGAAGAAAACTTACCTAGGACGACGAAAATGATCGATAATTTAAACAATCTCAAAAGAACGCTCGACCAAATTCAAACACATTTCGAACAATTGTTTGAATTGGTTTGGTATACGCGTGAATTGTTAAGCCAAATTCATGACTGTTACTTTCACAAGGCAAATGCTAGACCCCTAACGCCATCTATTGATTTTTGTAGAAATCATTAAAAGAACTGAGCTTCATGTCAAGTCTACTATTAAGTCTAAACCTTAGACTTAACAGTGGACTTGACATGAAACTCAGTACTTTACTTTAACTTAACTTACATTTGAGCTACTTAAACTAACTTAATAGCAAAACGTCAAACCAAATGGTAGTTGTACTCGCTGTTGACGTCTATTGTATTTTCCTTGTGGTTACTTTTGTGCACACTTTATGGATACGCTCGAAGTGAAAATCTCGCATGATTTCAACCTTATGCTACAGAAATTGATGTTAGCGAGCTTTGTCATATGCGAACACCCAGAACAGGTGATACATAAGGACAGAAAGTAAGTCATTAAATTGAAATCGATTTTTGTTAGCAAATTCTGCCAAAAAAATCAGAGATTACTATGGAATATTTTGATTCATATGGGATAGAAATATCGCATAAAAATAACAGATATTTTTCACGCGTTCTGTTCAGCGAAACACATAAATACACAATAGCGATTCTGCACACACAAAGTCGCTGTTTTTTCGCTATACTCTTCACACTTACTACTAAATATTAGATATTTTTGGACTCTGAACATTGAATGCGTTGAACGTTGAACACAACGCGTGAAAAATATCTGTTATTTTAATGCGATATTTTTATCCTATATGAATAAAAATATCCCATAGTAATCTCTGGTTCAAATTTATCGATTTACAATTGGCGAAAATTACACAAAACACAGGAATGGATGTAATGGACGAAAAATTTGCGCTGCAATTTCGATGCTCGATAAGAATTCAAAACTATCCAACAATATTTGAGCTAGTTTTTCTGCACTACATTCATATTTTGTTAGATTTATTCGTGACTGCCGAGCAACATACTTTCGTTTTCTTTTACAAGTGATTTTCCAATGTAGTTGTTTGACCAATGTAGTTGTTATCGGCATAAAGAATGTATACAATATATTAATAGCAGTTTTACTGTTCGTTGTAGTTGTTTTTACTCAGTTGTCAAATATACTGTGTGTGTCAATTTGTTCACTGGTCTGACTAAGTGTCAACTCAATGTTATCAAGCTCCTAACCTATCAATAGAACTTCCACGAAGTGTTTTGACTTTTGTACGTGCTTTAATATGTGCAATTGAACGATGCTATGTTTATCTTCCACTTCATCCCGCTCAGCTGCGTCTGTCTTGGTCTGCGTCTGCCAAATTATGCCGAATTATTTCAATTTTTTTTTCTCGTCGCAACCATGTTGTCTTTCTACGAGATAGTCAATCAACATCAGATGAATGTAGAAAACGAAGTGTGTGATCTCTATAAACAAATTGGTGATATACTTAGGATATTTAATGAATATCACATTAACAATGACACTGTAGAGAGTTACAACACTAATTTCGAATCAAATACAAGGCAGTACGCAGAATATTCTCAACGATTCCTTGAATTAGATTCGGAGCCCAGAACGCCTGCAATTGCAGCGGAACTAGATGCTTGCATACAAATGCGCGACAAAATGTGGCAGATCATCAATCAAAACATCTTGAGTCCGTTTCAAAACGTTTTTACATTATTGAATGATGCACAACGAATTCTCATCGAAAATGTGTTGGGCAAATGGAAACGTGACCAAATTTTGTTTCTCTACGGTGAAGATAACTTACCGAGAACAAAGCAAATGGTCGATAATCTAGGAAGTTTACTCGATTAAATTCAAACGCATTTTGAAAAATTGTTTGAATTGGTTTGGTATACGCGTGAATTACTAAGCAAAATTCATGACTGTTACTTTCGTGCAAACTTTGTTGGTACACTGGCAGCAGAAGCTCATGGCCTCAATCGTATACTACAGAAAATGCTATTAGCGGGTTTTGTCATATTCGAACATCCAGAACAGGTCATACATAAAGATAAAAGGTAATCCAATCGAATTTGTATAATTTTCATATGGATTTTCGTTGGTAAATGTTGCCAAAAAATTGACACGAATCGATAAGGATTTGAAGGAAGAAAAACAGAAAATAATGAACACTTTGATTTGAAAAAATCCGATTCACAGATTTAAGGCAAAAGTGCGTGTACTTTTGTCTAAATACATTACACAAGTCAGGTTTCAGGTGAGTTTTGATAAATGTCAAGATGATGCCTTTCGGTCTAAGCTATTGACAAATGATTGACAAAATAACGAGAAATTACGAACACGATACTTTTCATCCAGTCAATGAAGAAAAAAAACCTTTGGAATAAATTTTTGAACAAATCTTCTAACGATTTTCCATTTTCTTCACCACCGTACAGAGAGTCAAGTGAAACAACTGCACCAGCACCACAAACAACAACAAGAGCAGGACCAATGGTTAACTCCGTTGAATGAAAAATTACACGACATTCCCTACCCCAATTTTGCCGCGTTTCCATTGCCATGCGATAATTTAGAGTTTAATCTAACAGATATGAGACTAACGACAATTGCGCGAACTCCATTGATGGGTGCAATGGACGAAAAATTTGCACTCCAATTTCGATGCTCATTAAAAATTAAAAATGAACTAAAATCGGATGTAAATTGTTTATATTAATTTAATTTCAGATCAGTTCGTGGTTTGAAAATAAATTTTCTGTTTGATTTGCATTAGATTTGGACGACATCGGTGCCAGTTGTGGTCACAACGAATGTGAGTCAAGATGCAGAAGGTTGGGCCGCCATAACATGGGATAATTCGTTCTTTGCAACCGATCGAGATCCATTCACCGTTCCCGAAAGCGTCCCTTGGTCGCATATGAAGTGGGTTTTATGCACGAGATTCTTCTATCAAACGGGCTGCCATTTGAATGAACAACACTTGCAATATTTGTGTAAATATCAGATTATTTCTTTCATACTTTCCCAACTTTTGGACAATAAAATTTTATTTAAATTTCTATCGGTAGATAAAAAAAATTTCGGACTTCCATACGATCCTTCCGGAGACGATCGTTTCATTTCATGGCATCAATTTGCTAAAGATAAAGGAACGAGAAAATTCACATTTTTCACTTGGTTCTACGAGGTTACAAAACTAATACGATCGCACCTGAGCAAAGAATGGGAAAATGGTCTCATCGAAGGCTTTATTAGCATGGATGAGGCGTCGGAAAAGCTTCAATACTCTAAATCGGGCACATTTTTGCTACGATTCTCGGACAGTACGCCTGGTACATATAATTACAATAATTTGTACAACACCATAGTTTCATAGGATTATTTGTTCTATTTAGGTGGCATTTCAGTTGCTTCATATACAACAATAGACAACGTTCTAGGCTAGGGGCTTTTTACTCTTTTTCATATATGTGATTTGTACGGATAAACGCGCATAGATTGTGTGCCACAGTGAAGTGTGTCGAATTTTGCACATAGTCACGAATATTACGCATAGAAGCGAATACGCGTGCACATAATGACGCCACGATGCGATTTAAGATGCATCAACACAATGTCAACATTCTGTTGTATCGTTAAGTTTCGTTCAAACAATATTTGACATCAACAATTTCTGTCTTTAATATTTATCAAATCTCTTGCTAATGAGATTGTTCTTAATTGATGAAAATTGAATTTAAATATAACACAAAATTAAAATATAATAGCAAAGAATAAGAATGAAAACGAAAATCAAAATGTTATATTATACAAATATTGAAGTAAAACCGCCGATAGTTTTGGTAGATATAAAAATCGTTGAAAAAATAAGTGCGACGATTCATTAAACTTTGAAATAGCATCTGGATTATAAATAATAAAAAATCCATATGTACAAATGTGAGCCGAAATAAGTACAAATCAAACACTTGCAGTCAAGTATTTCTTGAATTTTTACATGAAAAAAGTCGTTGCACTTTGAATTCAAAATAGTCGATATTGTGGCGTGTGACCAATCAGAGAAGGAAACATTTTAGTAGGATTCATGCGAAATTATTCGCAGTATGAATGGTCTATGTGCAGTATTCGGACATCGAATGTGTGCACTTCTAACGAATAGGTACGAAGAAATCGTCACATACTATGAGTTGAAGCGCATATTCTTCGCATAAAACGAATTTTTTTCGAGTTAAATGCCCCTAGGTTCTAGGAATTCATCATATGACACCGTATGTTCGTAGTGATTTCGATATAAAAAAGCCCCCCTGTACAATTGGTGATTTTATTAAAGATCTCTTCTACTATACCCATCTCTATCCAAATTTGGAAAAAGATACAGTATTCTGTTTCTATTACACACCACCTAAGCGGCAGTCTGGACCATATGGCCCAAAAAAATGCATGTATTTGTCTTTTTTTTTTTAAATTAATCTTGATTAAATGGTCGCTAAAAACTCATTTCACTTTCTTTATATTCTGGTTTTCAATAGGGTAATTGGGTAGGACAATTCAAAAGAAACTTCGAGTCTCAACTAAATCACTGGAAGAGAATTAATCACTGGAAATAATAAGAAAAAACTGGCGTAAGATCAAGGCAAAACTATCCAATTTGAATGTGCAGCGTAATATCAGTGAACAAACATTAGTTGCTCAAAATAGATTGTTTGCTGTTTTTAAACTGCTACAATTGCCGTTTAACTTCAAATCGAACGAGGCAACATAAATGGCGTGTTGCGACCAATGAACTATATCAGAAGTTATCATAAAATCACATACAGAATACCACCACACTAGACTTTCTCTTGGTCGATTTGATTGGATTAAAATTTAATTTTTTTCTCGATTTATTGACACGAGAGGCACTAAAAAGTAAAAAGAACGCAATGAAATTTCAATAGAAAATAGAATTGAGAATTATTTGAATTGAAAAAGGTAAAGAAACATTTTTTAATTGTAAGAAAATCATTTTAATTAGTCAAGTTTTATAGTCAATAAAAAGTTTTAAATAAAATCCCTTGAGTGTTTGTTTTAATTTCGCATTCACATTTCATTCATGTATCGAGTTAAAAACCTTCATAACATATTCTAAGTAATTAACAAAAGCGAATACTTTTGTAAGGTTTCCAAAAAAAACCTTCTATCTCAACGAAGACTTTTTGGTGTTTCGGTTGTGTTTCCATGATAACGTATCGTCATAACACAAAAAAAGATGATTACAATGCCTTACATACATGTTCAGGTTGTTAATTATTGTATTTTCTTTCATTTTCAATGAAAACTTACAACGCGTGAAAGCGTAAGCTGTCCTTTTGAATCTTCTTGCTATAATTTCGACTTGGTCGGCCACGCTGACTGTGGGCATGCGAAAGACAACAAGATATGTTTCTGCTTTTAAGATTGGTTCATACACACAAGCCAAAAAACGCTCTGAATTTTCGAAAAGAAATAGCAAAAGCCCCGATGAAACGGAGTAAGCAAGAGACAGCAAAAAATGGAAATTAATTCGCAAGTCCGATTTATAAATAAAGAGCCGAGGCAAAAAAAAACACACACACACACACACCGCACCGCTAACACTATAAATGGCGAGAATTTCTTTTCGAGAGGTAAAACAAGAAATAAATAAAAAAAAATAAGAAGTATCAAGATAAACGAGCGACGAATGAAAAAAAAAGAAGAAGAAAATCACACAGCATCATGAATTGAACCCACGGTGGAAAAAAAAATCGAGTCGATTGTAAAGAAATTTAGATGTTGATAGACGGATTTAAAAGAATCGTAATGCTCTCCACCTTTCGAAAATGGCCAAATGTTGTATACATAACATGTGTTTGTTTTTTCTGGCTTTCTGTCGGAGCTGAGAGTGTATTTTGAGTGCAATGTCTTTATCTATAGTTTGGTATTATGCTTAAAACACAGCTCTGCTATTTCCCCCTACCTATTCGGTCCCAAGTGATTCATTTCACCGACCAAACATTCTTTTTCTCTTATCTACGTGTCTTTCTTTTCCCGCAGAGTTTATTGAAAACAAAATAGAAACACCAGATAATGATAAGCAAATAATACAAATTGAACATGAAAAATTCAAAAGGAATGAAAACTAAAACGTTGCTTAATATTTTTCAATGCCTCGTTTTGAGGTCTCTTATTAAATATAGCTTGGAATCGGTACGATTTCATATGAATTTCGATGGAAATTTGGAGGTCATGCCCCGATATATGCATGCAATAATGACGATGACGGCAGCAGCAGCGGCGGCAATGACGATGGCATCGAATGTGGCATCAAGAAAACCAATTATGCACTCTTCCAGGTGCACTAGTTTAGTGGGTTTACGGTGGCGATATGCCTAAACTTTCCGTCAACAATTCACTTTGATTCGACAAAATGTCTCGCCAATTGCATTCAGCAACACCAACATGTGCAAGCAATGGGAAACAAGTCAGACGTTGTGGGATGGAAGCAAAGCAGCAGTGAAAAGAAACAAACGTTGAATGTGCATTTGGTTCGTGTATTTTCTATTTTTGCTGTCATTGCGTTGATGGTTGGCATTGCACTGAGGCCAGTCCACCAATTTGATGGTAAAAATGTTTCTGCTCTATTTGAATCATGGGATTTGTGCTTATGTTGGCTACAATTATAGAAAATAATTACAGATGCGTGTAGTTCAAGTTTATACGAACGGAAAAAAAAATTATACGCGCATTCGATGACTAACGGAAGAGCGGAATGGAGCAAACAGCAAAAAAAAATAACAACAACAAGACCGTCGACGACAGCAGCGATGGCGGCGACGGTGTAGCAGAAACGACAACAATGCACGCAACAATATACACCGCACCACACCATAACAAACATGATCCGAAAACCAAAATAAACGAGCAGACCCCAAAAAAAAACACAGCAACGTCGAAAAATAACATGGGCAAGAATTGAGCGACAAAAGGCAAAACCACGGCAACAGAGATAGAGAGAAAATTCGATAAAAAGGCGAAAAAAGTTCACAATTAAACAAAGTCATAAATATGGCAAAACTAAATTGCCGTATCGGTTGTCATTTCAAACCGAATCGAATCTACTATCTATCTTTGTAATAAAGCTCGTAATGACTCTAGCACGAAGCCACGACAACCAATTCCAATTGACAACATTGTTCCAGAAAAATGCGTACATATCAAAATAGACCAATTTTTTATTCTTCTTTTTTTTTCTCCAGATGCTGGCGATGTGATCTCACCGCTACAAAGCTGACAGAGATCATCATCATCATACACACACACAGGCACGCACGCACGCACGCATCATTTCCATCTATTTGCGGTGGCAATTGCATCGCCATGCCGGCATTGCCATAACATCTCTCACTCAACACATCATTTCTAAAAGCGATTGTGTCTCTACTTTTTCGTTTCTTCTCGTTTAAATTCCCGTTTTTGGGCAAATTTACATTTATGACGTCAACATTTCAAATAAAACAAGCGGTTGAATTGAACCGTGGGCCGAAATCAGCATATTGTTTTTGTGCTGATTCCTTTTTTCTCTCTCTATCTCTCTCTCTCTCTCTCTCTCTCTCTCTCTCTCTCTCTCTCTCTCT